TGGGAGCGTAGGCGTCTCTCCGAGGGCCCAGCAGCTTCTCGCTCGTCTTCCTCAGCCGTGTTCCCTTTTCACGGGCTGTTAGAAGCGGTGTCTCTGTCTGCTGCCCTCGAAGTTGTTCTTTTGGCCTTAACAGTAGCTTTGACTCCTGTTACACACGTAGAGTGGCGTGAAAAACCTGGTTTGGGTAGAGCTTCGTGTGGGTCGCCTGTGTCCCGAGTGGGCAGGAGGCCTTAGCTGCGGGCACTGCGCATTCCCACGCTTGGGGGTACGTGGGTTTGGCCCTGTGCCCTGTCAGGTGCCTCCGCCGGCCCTGCGCTCGGCAGGCAGACGGGGGAAGTGGGGCCTTGTGCCGGGGCTCTGCTCCCCGGCGTGCGCAGTCACCAGCGTGTGTGCGGGGTTTGGTGCTCGCTGGTGCCCGGTATGCGGCACTTTGGATGAGACTTCCCGTCAGTGGGCAGCGCATCCTTAGGCAGTTGCTACCTTGAATAGTTTGGTTTGGGTATTTATTTCCAGTGCTATTTAGTGAAAGTTCCTGTGTTGGCTGAGGTTGAAATTGTAACCAGGATTCCCTTGGTTATGCTGAAGCTGCAGCGATTATTGTATTTTATTCTCTAGCAAGTGTTCTGTTTCTTTCAGCTTACTCTGAAAGTTGTGTCTTATCTCGCCAGCAGTTTGCTTGCTCTCACTTCTGTTTTTAACTAACATATTCCCGTGTACCTTGTAGGAGGTTCTTGCACGGTGAATCACTCGAGTTCAGAGCTTGAACGGCGTCCTCTTCACTCGTCGTATTTCAGTCTTCCGGAAGAGGTGCTAGTTCAGGCTTAAAATCCCTGGGGACACGTAGGCCGGGCAGGAATGGCCGAGCTAGCGCGAATCCTACTCGCATCAAAGCGGGAAGCAGATTGCCGTGTAAGCACGGTGTTGCCCTTCATCCTCAGTAGTCTGAGGGCGAGGGTGTTTGGTCAAGGTGTGGTGCTACAGCAGTTTCTGTATCCCAGGCAGCACCGCGGGGTGTCTGCGCTGTGGTGTGAGTTACTGTTCCAGTTGAACCGTGCCTTTCCTGTGTTCGAGTGTGTTATTAAACGTGCTTGGTGTTCGTAAGGCAGAACCCGACCGCTGAGCCTAACTTGAGGTTCAGGGGAACGATGTGTAGTAGTAGGCAGTGAGGGTGCAGACCGCAGTTTCTTCGTGACCAGCTGAGCTGGCTCTCGCTGCGCTCCTGAAGTTGGTTTGGGATCTGCACTGGAAGAACCTGACTGTAGCACGTTCGCTGCAGAGTGTTGCTGTGCCACTGCGCTCTTGGGGTGTTCCGTAAGTCGTGTTCGTCTGCTGCCCTCTAAGGATGCTAGTGGCCTTCTGTGAGGCCCAGGTGAGCAGAATGCGTCTTGGACACTGCGGTTTTTCAGGGAGACTTTCTGTTGAGAAAAGTGCAGCTTGTGCAGGCACACAACAGAAGTGCTCACGAGCCTCAGAGCTGCTCTTCAGCTCCGTTCCCTGCTGGGTTTGTACACTCAGCGCGTCACCCATCGAGTCGTAGGATGAGATACTTTGCTCTTTTTAGTACTGGAACTGACCCTGGTTTCTCAGAACACAGGCAGGTTCGTGGCGAAGGGGCTGTTGGCCGGTGTGAGCAGTCCTGGTGCCCCGTAACGCCAGAGGCAGCGTCGGGTGGTTGCTTACTTCGGCCTTTGTGTAGCGCAGCGTTTACCGTGACTGGGGTCCCTAACCCTGAGCCAGCCCTCTCATAATGCCAAGGTTGTTGTTATTTATTTTGGGCTGAACATTAACTGGGGAGGGTGAAACAGGGAAGAAAAGGGTTGTTTTGGTAGTAGGACGTTAGTGAAGGTGGGGGCGAGGCGCTGGGAGAGCTGTTCCGCTCCGGGGGAATGGATTTTGTAAACCAGCATTTTATTTCAACTCTCAGGGTGAAGGGGGGTGGAAGGGTTAAGGTGTTTTACCTATCAATAATCGTTATTAACTGAAAACAGCTGTAGTCCTGTCTCACTGGGGCTTTGTGGCTCTTCCCTTGCAGGTTAAAGTTTCGTTCGACCTGGACAACATTCAGATCAAGTACGTTGATGAGGATAATGACGAGGTAAAGTACACCACCCTCCCCCTCCGATCTACCAGAAAGGGGCTGGTGTGAACCTTTCTGTCTCTTGACAATTTGTAGCAGGTCCCTCAGGAGTGTCTTATGCATGTCAGAGGTGACATTTTTGCCCCTTTGGTAAGAAAACAGTTGTGAACCTTGTGGTGTCACTCTTAACGTAGCATAATTATCTTAAAATGTATTTTTAGAAGCTACTGCCTCTGTCTGCGCACCCGGTGGTGTGCTCAGAGGGGGGATGCCTCTGGTGAGGGACTCTCGCCTCTCGTTTTCTCCGAAGAAGGCAGTTGTGGCTCTCTGTTCGCAGCTGCGGTAGAGCCCTGCCTCTCCAACCCGCTCTCCTTGCCCTGGGAGACGGCGCTCCCCGCCGTTAGCGGGTGTTTACCTCGGTGAGCTGGGGCGCGCCGATCCTCTGCCAGTTCTGCGCAGATGCCATAATCCCTAGGCAGATTACCGGCTCGGAAAACAAGCTGGTTACTGCTGGCTGTCCTTGTTGAGTAACTTCCGGCTCGGCATAGCCTCACCCTCTCGGATTCTGTTTGTCCAGAGGTCTGGAGGAGGATGTAGGGCTCCAACAGAACGTCCCTCTGGGGAGTGCTCTGCTCGGCTGCTGGGTTTGGAGCGCGGCAGGACTATGGAGCTGGGGGTCCTGTGATTTTGTCCCCTAAGGGCAAATGTCAAGTTGCTTCTAGCAACATTCCAGGGAAGGGTTCTCCATTATTTTCCAGCCTGTGTCTGTGTAAATACATAGATGCATCTGGTAAGGATCTTTCTAGATAGTGACAGAGGAAGCATGGGTCAGGATTACGCAGTGCTGTAGTGGTTAAATAGCTGCTTGGATTAGTAACTTCTGTGTGGGGGTTGAACAACGAGCACCTGTAGAAGACGGGCTTGGCTTGTGTCTGAATCCAAAGAACAAGTGTTTCACGTTGGGCATGAGAAGCAACTGGGTCCAGCCTCTCTGTACTGGTGTGGTGAGCCCCCTGTACTGGCGCCAGCTTTCTGCCCGTACGTGCCAGAATCCCGTTTGTGCACATCCGGCAGAGGAGGTGGTGTGCTGCAGAAAACCCCCACAGTGGTTAATGATTAAACGTGGCAGCGGTAACAGACCCAGACCGAATGGGGTGTCAAACTCTGAACAGAAGTGTGTTTGTTCTGGAAGCGTGTTAATGTTCAGAGACTCACAAAGCTGGACGAGTGGCTGTTCCTCACTGTTGTTTCTCTTTGCAGGTCTCTGTGAACAGCAAAGGTGAGCTGCTACTTCACTGAAGTGAAATCCATAAATCGACTGTTGTTCGTGGGTTTTGGAACAGCAGTTGAGAACACTTGCATTTGGATTTTGTGTGTGGTTGGGCATCAAATTCTTCCCAAAGGCAAGAGTTTTGGTTCACAGGGACAAATTGGCTAAATTAAGGGAATGTTAAGTCTTTAGGCTGTGAGAGCATTTGCTTGTTGCTGAACGTACGACTTCTTCCTCGGGTAGCACTAATCTGAAAAAGGATGTACAGAGGGCACAGGAGACCCTCATTGGTGTGAGGGTCCCTAAATACCGTGCGCTAAACTTACGTTGGTTGTTCGAGACAAGGAAAACTCATGCTTCTTTCCTTTTTCTTTAGAGGAATATGAAGAAGCTCTGAAGGTAAATGCTCCCTTTGACTCTTTTTTCCAATATTTTCATCCTTCTCCAAATAAAGTCGGTGTCGCTGATAAAAACCAGCGTTACCTGGCCCACGGAAGTCAGAATAGCTCAGTTTTCTGGCTTTGGACACTAGCTTGAGGGTTTTGCCACAGTTTTCTTCCATTCAGGCTAGTCTTGATTTGTATAGATTAGTTGACCAAGCAGTTGTGACTCAGGGCCCTGAGAACCAAGTCCTTGGTGAAGTTACTAGTTTCTCAAACACTTAAACATTAGTCCCATGTTTGGAGATTCCGAGATCTAGTGGGATCCCCTTAAAAATCTTGCCATGTAGACTGATGCTGTACTCCGTGGCAACAAAGCTAATTGCTGTCAGTGTTTAGATACTTCATAAGCAGTTAATTTTACTTAGTCAAAATGAGATCTGCATTCCTTTGTGTTTGAGTTGTACAGTACAGATGCTTCCAGAACGTTCTGCTCTTGATCTGATTTCCAGTGTGAAGTTAATTTATGATTATTTTAAAATTGCTGTTTAAGTTCCTGGACAGAATCTCTACTGTTTACTGGCTCATACAAACACCTTTATTGTAGAATATCTGCATAATTAACCTTTTGCTTGTCATAAACTTTTTAATAAGCATATTGGCAACCTGTCAGAAAGGCAGAGCAGGCTGTCAGCTGCCTGCACCTTGGCACTTCCCTCGATTGTTTTTGGGTGCGTGTTAGTCTTTCCCCAACCTCTCCAGCATAGTGCAGTGCTCTGTTTTCACAGGATTTTGTTCGGTGGCTCTAAGTGGAGTCAAGATGGTGCACGTATGTGTGTATTTAGATTGCAGTTAAACAAGGAAATCAGCTTCAGATGAACGTATATGAAGAAAACTCGTTTCTGCAAGAAACTTCGTGTTCTTATTCTTTGCAACTGCAAGAAAAAACTGTGATGGCAAAGTTGGCACCTCTTAAAGATGAGAAGAAACCCCTTCCGCACTATTCCGCGCTAGCTCAGGGGTTAGAGGAAGACTTAAGGAATGGAAAGGAGCTCACAGGTCAGGTAGGATGCAGACCTGGGTTATATATTCATTCACACAAAGCCTTTGTAAGTGTAACTTGCTTTATGGCCTGATTGTCGTCCTTACCCCTACATGAAACCTCGGAGTTCAGCAGTTGGTCTTCATTTCCAGCTGTCCGCGCCCACTGAAGCTCCCAAAATTGTTTGAATGTCTGTAAGAGGCTATTTCGATGCTGCATTTAGAAAGCCAGATTCTCTCATTTGACCATCCTGAAGCATTTTGGGGAATGAAGCCGTTGGTCTCCTGGAGCCCTGACAGCCGCCTCGTAACTCCTGGCTGACTTGATTCCCTTGGCTTTGATGTGTAATTACACTCAACCACTAATAAGGCAGAAATCCTCCAGGAAATGTCAGTGGTTTTCTGCTCTTTGCCAGAGAACTTGAAGTCTTTGTTGTCCAGACACGGGGGGAGAGCTCGTTGGAAGTGGTTAACTTACTGTACTGAGGTTTTGCCTACTTAAGGTTTGTAGCTGATTTCTGTGGTGTGGTGTTTTGTTCTGTTTCTCTCCCCCCAGCCAAAGTTCAGTCACACTGGAACAGGGAGAACAAATGAAAATCCTCCAGAATGGTTTACTAGCTACTTGGAAACGGTAAGTGTGTTTGCTTCTGTGTTTTGGTGTTCTTAGAGGAATACATAAGCAGCTGTGGGTGGAAAAGATGCCTGGCTACACCTCTGATCACACCTGTGCTCAGTGCTTGTGACCAGGAGCTGAAAGGGCGTTTAAGCATCTAATCACTGAGCTGTTGTGGTGAGGAAAGGGCCCCGGATGTCTGCCTGCAGTGCCACTGTTCCCTGAACCTTCAAAACCAGTTGGATGCATCCTGGTGTCAGAAGTGGCTTGTTTGGTGTGTGCAGTTTTAAGTAGCTCCCGTGCTAGAATTCCTCTTGCAGTCTGGGTAGCTGTAGGAGTTTCAGGGCCCTGGTGAGGAGAGCGAGCGTGAAATAGGGTGTTGTTGTTGGAGAGTCTTGCTTGGCCAGTTTCAGTGGGGTAATTCCAGGGTTTCCTGAGATCCGAGGCGCAGCAGTCGATGACCTCGCTTTTCTTGATTGTTGGGTTTAGGAAAAGGCTTTCAGGAGGCCAGTGAGTATCAGCTGTAGATTAATCAGCTGCGGGCTTAGCTTGTTTTGACCAAGTGATCCCTGAGAAGCAGTTAGGTGTACGAGTGCTGAGAATTAACTAGCTGCTGAGCTCTTGAAACGGGAAGGTTTAGCGGGGCAGTGGGGTGTGTGTTTCTCTTAAAGCTTTTTTTTCCCTAGCATCTCCCTTCCTCTGCCACCTCCCTGCAGACAAAAGACGGGGGATCTTAATGGTTGTATTTAAAACATCCCTGGGGGACAAACGGTAGAGACTCGGGAAGGGACTGGGAGTTGTGTTAATTGTCTCAAGAATCAGTTTCCTTCCCTTCATGCAGGTTACGGAAGAACCTCAATAATGTAAACATGGATATATGATTGTTAATGTGTCTTGTTAAAACCATGGGCTGGTGTTTTCTAAAATACAAATCCTCTTTGAGGAATGTGATACATGTTTAATTTTATCTGGAATGTGCCGGGGGGGTAGGAAGGGGATTCTGAGCTGCTTTATGGACTGGGAGACTGGGCACAGTGTACTCTCACCTCGGAAGCTGCATAGGTGGGTCTCCTCCTTGACTACTTTAATTTGTTTCCAGTTCAGGGAGCAAGTAGTTAAGGAAACTGTTGAGAAACTGGAACAGAAGCTGTATGAGAAGCTTGTTCATCACCCTCAGCCTCCAGACTTTCCCGAGAGCTCCGCTACGGCCACATCCCCAGCTTCTGAGAGCCAGCCAGGGAATGACAACCCCTGTGACTGGCTGATCTCCTGCTGCAACTGCCAGGCCCGAATTGTTGGGGTTCGCTACCAATGCAGGTAGAACGTGAGGGGGGTGGGAGTGGGGGAAACTGAACACATACGGCACGTGAACAAGCCTGAGAAACTGTCCTGGTGTGGCAGCCTCGTCCTGCGTGGAGTGCTGTCCATCCCAGAGCTCGTGTGTCTCGCGCAGCTGCTGTGCTGCTGTGGTCCCTGGGCCTTCTCTGCAGAAGAGCAAGGTTAATGCTGGTTTAAGAAAACATGACTGTCAAAGCAAAGTGAGGGAACTTCATAACCCTTGCTATGTTCTCAAACACTCCTTACCTTTCTGCATGTAAGGGACAGATTGAAACGTTTTCTGTTAACTAAATGAACAAGCAAAACTTGGAGCCACTGGTGCATGACAGTCCTCCAGTTCTGACAGTCGGTGAGACTGAGGCAGGTCGCGCCGTTTTAACGATCTCACTGTCGTGAGTTTAAGGATACAAAGGAGGCTGTGAGTGTGTGACTGGGGTGTCACGAGTAGGGGTTCAGCTGGAATGAGGCAGCTCCTGTAAAGGTCAGTCTTCGAGGACTCGGTGGCAGCAGCAAATGCAGCGCCAACAGGGGTTGTTCTTTGGGTGTTTATTTTTCTGGCTGGCAGGAGCTGACTGTTTTTTACCAGCCCTGTGACTGCAGGGGCAGTCTGCTTTGCATCCCCAATACTTCAGTTGACCCACCCTCTCTATGTTCCAAAGTACAATGCAGTTTCTGGCGCTGGATTTCAGCGGAATGTTTTATCCTTTACCAACAGTTGTTAGTCACGTGCTAAAGGAAGCACCACATTTTTTTTCAAAATGCAGATTGCAGAGGGGAGGGAAAACTGTGGTGCAGTTTTGCCAGCAAGAGAGATGCTGATGTAGATATTCCAGATGGCTCCAGATATTCATATATAAGGGAGAGAACCAGCTTCTCTTTCACTCCGGCGCTGCTTACAATGGTTTTACGCCACGCAGAAGTGCAGGGGTTAATTGTTCTTCTGTGTGTCTCTAGTGCGTTACATCTTTGCCTGCCTCTTGGTAACCTGCCTTTTCTGCTTCGCAGTCTTTGTCCAGCCTACAGCATCTGCGAACAGTGCGAAGCAGGGACGTACGCGCACGATCCCAATCACGTCTTGCTGAAGTTGCGGAGGCCTGTGCTGTGCGTGGCGGAGAGTTACAGCCTTGCGGAGTGCTCGCCTCGCCTGCCTGCTGCTCTGGAGCAAGTCAGGTGAATGGGCACCTCTCTGTACCTCCACGGTTATCCCGATGGCAGAGTGCAGACGCCTGCATGGGGGTTATGTTCAGCTGTGGGGTTTTGGATTTGACGATAAGGAAGGGACGTGGTACTCGGTGTTACTGCAGGTGGCTGAAAGCAGCCGTGTGCCTCAAACGGCCTAAGTCACGAATCTTACAGCACTTCTGATAACAAAGTAGATGATGTGGTTTAGGCCCACCTGGCAGTAAAGCACCACACAGCTGCTTGCTCGCTCCTTCCCACAGTGGGATGGGGAGGAGAAAATACAGGGAAAAGCTTGCAGATTGAGACAAGGACAGGGAGGGATCACGTGCCGGTTATGGTCATGGGCAAAATGGACTGGGCGTGAGGAAAAAAGATCATTTTAATTAGTTACCAAGCAAAACAGTATCATAATACCTTCACGAGCAACCGTGAAGATGGTCTTTTAACATCCTCTGGTGTCCGGTCCAGGAACAGGAGACGGTTCTTTTGGACTAAGGCTGTGTTGGCTAAAGCGGAATTCGAACGCACTGAATGTATTGTAACAGGGTGGCTTGTTCTGTCTGCAGGCTCCAGAAACAGATGGACAAAAGATTTCTGAAGGCAGAAAAGCAAAGATTACGAGCGGAGAAGAAACAGCGAAAGGCAGAGGTCCGAGAGCTGAAGAAGCAGTTAAAATTGCACAGGAAAATTCATCTGTGGAACTCTGTCCATGTGTTGGAAACTGGTGGCTCACCTGCTCTGAAACCCGAGAGTCTCCAAGCTAATACCTTCCCGTAAGAGATGTTGGTAGCTGAGCAGCTCTTAGCTGTGCTCTCTGTCCTTTCGCGCTGAGACCGAGATAAAGTGGCAGGAGGAAGGTTAGGAAATGGCTCGTTTCAAGTATCCTTCCTCCTGGGACCCCGTGAGAATTTTGTGTAAATGGAATTTGAAGGTGGAGTTGTTTTATTGTTTTCACCTGGGAGGGGAGTAGGAGAACAGAAGCAACTGATGGTTATTACCAGGAACTTACAGCCTTACATGGGTTTAGGAGGAAGGGGAGTGCCTGGGGTTGCGTAACTCCCGCTGCCTGTGCGTGTGTGCCTATGTAACGCTGCTGTCGGCGGGAAAAAGTCGGTGTCTTCCTGCTCCGTTACGTGTCCCTGCGCGAAGCCCATTCTGCAGGTCGTGTTCGGTGCTCTTCCCCTTCTCCCTGATCGTAGGCTGAGGCTCACAAGCAGCAGCCTTTGCAGGCAGGCACTTTGCATCTTCTGTTCCCTGTGGGTTTGTGAATGTACAGGTGTAAAACTTGTACAGTTCTAGTTTCTTTAATCCATCCCTTCCATTTAGGGCATCTAAAAACCAGATTAACATTAATCAGTTACTTAAGTTTGTGGGGAGCTTAACGTAGCTGTCTTAGCTCCCTTTTTGCTGAGCAGGCATGTTACAGGAACAAAGCTAATGCTAATTTAGGTCCAAAATCTTGGTTTAGGTCTTTTAAAGTTGGCATGCATAAGCTGCTTCACCAGTCCCCTCCCAATGAGCCCAAATTAACAGCAAAGCTGTGGATTAAATCAATTTTTGAACGCCTTTCAGGGAAAAAACCTGTGGTATCTTGCTGAAAAATGTTGCTTGTAAGGCCAGATGAGACACTGGTGCTTGGACTGTAGCACAACCCTGACTGAACATCATCAGGATAATGGCATCATTCTCAACAGAACAGTGTAGCCCGAAGTGCGGTCAGACTGAGTCACACCTGGGGAAACGGTGAGCTGCTCCGTTCACCCGCAGGTCTGCAGTTCTGACAACATTCTCCCGAGTCAGCAAATCCTGCATTGGTGTTTCTTTTTGCCGTACGCCAAGGAACGCAAACCGCTCTCTGGTGTTTAGCCCTGAGGTGAAAACAGCTGAAACATCAGCATTCCCAAACATTTCTAGAGACAGGAAGGAAACAAATCAAATGGCCTCCCCCATTTCTAGGCAGAGAAATGGCAACTGAACAGCTTCCTCGGCTTTGGTGGATTTTTATGTTTTTTGTTTGTTTCTTTCCTCCCCCTCAACCTCAGGAGTCCCAGCCAACCCTTCCAAGCAGTTGTCCCAACGCTAAGCGCGGTATTTGTGGATGAGAATTTGCCGGATGGGACTCATTTGCAACCAGGAACAAAGTTCATCAAACACTGGCGAATGAAAAATACTGGCAGTGTGGAGTGGAGCGCGGACACTAAGGTATCTCGCCGTTGCCATTGCTTTTACACACTAAAATAACTCTGGAAGGTCAGTCTGTGTGCAGTAGGGGTGTGAGTTCTCTGACAGAGCCCAGTTGGGATCTTCAGTCACAGGCTGGGGATCGGGGGCAGTGAGCTGTGTCCGGGTGCTGCAGACTGCGAGGAGAGCAGTCAGGATAAATGCCACCCAGACGTCTTCCAGCGCTGTTGTGTGGGGGCTCCCCTTGTTTATGAGGGTTGTGTTGCATTTCTGACTTCCAAAAGCCCCTCTGCAGCGAGCGACTGAGTTTGTGTTGGAGGATCTCTGTGGTGACTGATGTGGCGGTGTTGGCTCTTCTCCGTGCCTCCTGTCTCCAGGGCCTTTCAGCAGAGGCTCTTCAAGTGCTTCTTCTGCCCACGATTTGCGGAGGAGCTTGCAAAGTTAATTTTTGCTTTTCCTGTTGTGTATTTCAGTTGAAACTGATGTGGGGAAATCTGACGTTGGCATCGTCTGGAAAAAGAGACGTGTTAGTGCCATCCCTTCCATCGGGACAAGTGGGCACGGTTTCAGTTGAGTTTGTAGCTCCTAATATAGAAGGAACTTACACCTCTCACTGGAGGCTGTCACACAGAGGGGAACAGTTTGGGCCCAGGATCTGGTGCAGTATTATTGTGGATCCCTCCCCAGCTACTGACTGTGTAGAAAGCAACGGGAAGGATTCTGACACCGGTCGGAAGGATAAAGCTTCCAGCTCCAAACAGGCAAGTAACTCAGTGTTTGGGGCAGTTCTGAATTGCGTAGCAGGAGGAGCGATGATTATTCGCCGGGGCAATGGCATGGTGTCCCCAGCTATACTGACTGCCAGGGTGTTCTTGTAGGGGTTTGCTTCTAATTTTTAATGGGGAGGAAACACAACTTTTACTATACTTTGAAGCTCTGAAATGCTCATTGTTTTTGATAGGCATGGGGTTAGGTGTCAGTCTGTTGCAGTTCTTTGAACTGAAAGACTGAAGGATTTCCCTTTAGGAAGGATTGTCCTTTTGGCTCTAAAATTAGTTTAATTAAATCTCTTTTCAAGTTACTTGTGTTCTTATACACAATATTCAGACTCTACATTTCATGTAATTGATTTATTTGCTACCTGCCTGAGGGGCTTCCGGGACATTATTCTTTTGGTTTTGCAGGATGCTTCCTTAAAGGCAGAAGCAGATGCACAACTGGTGGGTGAAGTTATGGAGCAGGCTGAAACACCTCTGCCAACTATTCCTTTAAAGATCAAGAATGTGCCCAGTGAGAGAGAATTTTACATCCCGTCTGTTGATCTCCTCACTGCACAGGTAGAGTGCTAAAATTCAGGGAGCACTAACAGAAACCACCTTGGGTTTGACATCTAGGTCCATAGACATCTGTGAGCATAAAAAGCTGCTGGGCTCTGCAACAGCCACTGTATTTTCCAGAGTATGTGACATTTTATGTAGCAGAGCTGTGCTTAGATCAGTGCCGGGACCGGCCCTGTATGGAAGGTGTGTGCAGGACAGATTGAGAGTCACAGGGCCAGGCCTCTCTCTGGCACCTAACAAGGGAGCGCTCAGCTTTGCCGTGGATGGATGTTATGGGGAAACTGCCCCCCGAGATCCTGCCGAGTAACTAACGCGGGGGCAGACTGACTTGGAGGTGAATGGGATCTGATGCTGGGAAGCCCAGTGTAAGATTGCGTTTCAGGGCTTGCTGCTGAAAACTGAGTGGTGGTTCTTTCTGTAGGATTTGCTGTCCTTTGAGCTGTTGGACATTAATATTGTGCAGGAATTGGAGCAAGTGCCACACAATACTCCTGTTGGTAAGGCGGATCTCATATTCCGTGTGCTGTCTGTAGCATTCCGAGTCAGCTTTTACCCAGTGAAAAGCTGAACGTGTTTGTGCACAAGGCTTAGCTGCTCTGCAGGCTGGGGTGTCTTCCCAGCTCCCCTGTCTTCTCACTTTAACCCTTGCTGTGGTCTCAGAGGAGATGCTGGGCAGTGCTTTGTGTTTTTCAGTCTCAGCTTCTCATCCCTAAGGCCGTAAGATTCCAGGCATTGGCTTGGATTCTCTTTGCTCAGCCAGTGCCATGCGAACCTGGTGGTTCATTTCACCACCTCCTGGAGGCAGGAATGTTCCTACCCCTTTAGCGCCAGTGATCTTTGCTACCTCTGTTTTCAGACATGACTCCGTGCATGTCCCCTTTGCCGCATGATAGCCCCTTGCTGGAGAAGCCTGGCTTAGGTCAGATAGAGGAGGAGAGCGAGGGCAGTGGATTTAAACCAGTCTCAGGTAAGCAGTGCGTGGGGAGCTTGGCGGAGGGGGGGAGGATGTCGTCGCCTCTGTGCAGTCAGCAGTCTTGAGGCTTAACAAGAATTCTAACTCCTGACTTTCCCTTCTGTGGAAAAGCCGACAGTTCAGCTCGTAAACCTGCAGTCTGACGCTGCTCTCTGAGGGTAGCTGTTGGAGCGTAATACACACAGAATTTGGAAATAAAAATGCTTCTCTTGGTGTGTCTGACTACTAGAACTGTTGGGGGAACAGTTTGCCCTGCATGGACTCAGTTATACTCAGAACGCTCCAGGCCTGACCCCCTTGCTTTTCTCCATCACTCTGGTGTTCAACTTGAACCGAATTCCAAAATACTTCTGGTTTTAAAGAGAATTAACACACACAGTCAACACTGGTCTTGGCTGGCCTAAAAATCCCGTCTCACGTTTCCTTGTGGTGGTGTTTCCAAGGAACAAAGGAGGGCTGCTTTCCAGCAGACACCGGCATAGTGAAGGTGAAGGCTGAACATCCGTTGAACCAGGAGGAAGGGGAGGAAGATATGAGTGGGACTCAGTTTGTCTGTGAAACTGTAATTCGCTCTCTGACGCTGGACGCTGCTCCTGACCATAAGCCCCCACAAAAGAAGAAAATCCTCCAGAGTAAGTGCTGTCGGTGGCTTTGCTTTTGGCAGTCAGATGAAGCGCAAACCACCCTGCGCCGCGGGCGTGGTGCGGCTTTAATTGTTTTCCTGCTTGTTTTATTAGACTCTTCACAAACGTTGCGAGAGGCCTTCAGCTGCAGTGTGATAACTGAGGAATCTCCTGCGGTAGAACCTGATTCCGCTCCCAGAGAGGAAGCAAAGGTTCTCCAGTCCAAGGCAAGGACAGGAAATGACCGTGGTAAGTAAAATGGGTTGGAGTTTACGACACAGCTGTTAAAGGGCTACGGAAAACTCATGTGTAAGAAGATTGATACTGCTGTGGGAAAGGGGTCTTGACTAGCTCAAGGGAGTGGCTATTACCTCCGGAGCTGGTGTCGGTGCTCCAGCCAAGCCGCCGGTTTAACTGCTGTTTTACCCTGGAGACGTAAAGGGTCCAATGGGGTGTTCAGAGGAATGCTTGCACGTGAAGCGCGGCTGGTGTTTGTACCAGTGCCTTTAGGTCAGCGTCGGGGACGTTCTGATGCGTGGAACTCGGGCTGAAAGCTACTGTTCGAGTTCTGGGTGTAGCCCTTACTCCTGTTTGCACTACAAGTTACCAGCAGCCTGTCTAAGCCCTGATACCGTTCACTCTACACCCCCAACCTCCCCCCAGCAGACAAAGAAAACGGTACCGTTTCCCTTGGCAGAGCAGGTTCGCAGTTGTTCCTGCACACTTGTCTTCCGAGCCCGGGACAACGCTGCCTCTGCCGTTATCCCCACAAAATGGACGACAGTTAATACTTTGCTTTTTCACCCCCCTCTTAGGGGATCTTCCGTTGTCTGATGAGGGAGCAAGCCCCTGCAGTGACACCGGCGATTCTGATGAAGAGAAAGATGAGGATAAAGATGACATTCAAAGTCAAGGCTCCTCTGCTTCCTCAGAGGATTACATCATCATTCTCCCAGAGTGCTTTGACACCAGTCGCCCCTTAGGGGAGTCAATGTATAGTTCAGCTCTTTCTCAGCCCAGTCTGGAAAAGATGGGAGAATTGGAAAGGGGAGCAGAGAATCCAGAAGGGGAAAGCCAGCCAGAGACCCACAGCACCAGGGAAGACACGACAGCTTCGCAAACCCTGGCTGTAGTGCTAGGCGCCCCAGAGGCTGTGGACGCCTTACCCCAGGCCCAGAGGTATGCTGCTTGGACGAGAGCAAAGTGGTTATTGGCGCTGCTGCAGAGCCTGCAGGGTGTTGTGCTTCAGTTCAGCGGCCAAACAGAACTCTTGGTAACAAAAGCTGGGTCGCACACTGGAGTGAATGTCCTAAATCCTGCAGCTTTTTGTCAAGCCTGTGCTCACTGATAGGAGAGTGCGAGAGAGGGGAAGAAGGGAGCATGTCCAGCTTCTTTTGTCTGTTAGTCTTGACTCACCTACGTGTCTACATGTAGGCTGAAAGTAGTGAAAGTAACTCTTTTTTTCCTTCTGTTTTCAGCAGTGTTGCATCTCTTCAGAATCATATCTTCCAAGACCCAAATGCAGCAGCTTCAGAGAACAGCTCTTCCGCTCCTCATAATCAAATAAGAGAAGGTATTGACAGTACTTCAGGAAGGGTGTACCCACTGTTGTTATTCCTTATGCCGAGTATCGGATTTGATGTCTTGTTCTTGAGGAGAGCACAAAGCTACCGACTAATGATATGCTGGGTGCTGGAGTTTTACTATATAGAAGATTTGAATAAAGAAATAACTGGGTTTGTGGATCAGCTAAGAGCAGGTATTCGTTAGAAATAGTAGGAGGGTACTCAGAAGTACTTGTGGACATGTAGAATATTACCTGGCTCCGGGGTTCAGGAGCTGTGTGTTGCAGCTGTTCCAGTCGCCGGGAGCTCAGGCAGCAGCTTGTGTCCTGTTAAACACCAGCTGACTGATCAGCCAAATGACTTGTGAAATTCTGTGGTTGTTTTGGCTGCAGGGAGAGTCCTGTATAGCCAGTTTGTCTGGGTAACTGACCTTGCAAGTATTCATTTTGGACTGAATCCCACTCCTTTCCACTTATGTACATCTCGCATCTCTTCAGCTTCTCATTTGCTGCGTCTGTTGATGCGCTTTTCTTCTTCCTGTTCCAGAACCCAGTGGTGAAGATAGCCAAGGACCAGGATCTTCTGGATATCTGACTAGTAAACAGAAGTGGTCGGAACACCCCAGGTAATGAAGCTGTGACTTCACAAATACTGTTTTAACCCAAGAACTGCTAAGTTGGGCACCTAGGAAAAAGCACTGGCTCACAGATTTGATGTAGTCAGTATCTTGAAATAGAAAGCCAGTAGAAAGGCTCCGCCCCTTAAAGGAAACTTGTGCTGAATGTATGAGTGTCCTGGATAGCTCAGTTCCCCAACAGGAATGATTCCTTTGGATCCTAGGCTGTTCTGTCCAACAGGAACTGAATCTCAGTTGGCACATCAGCAGGGAGAGACTGTCACGTGAAGCAAACGCTTGGCTTTGACCCTGAAGTAACCCCTGACTTCTCCGCAGGTACCCTCCAGGGAGCAGCATTGCAGGAGAACTAGTGAAAGGAGCTTTGTCAGTTGCTGCTTCTGCCTACAAAGCGTTGTTTGCTGGCCCCCCCGTTACAGAGCAGGTAAATGTCTTTCCTGGGTGCTGTGTGAGTTCCGTGGAATGCCAGCTGTAGTGCTGCAGGGCTGCGGTTTATAAACGTACCGATGTGGTGTGCAGGCCTTCCTGCAGCAGGAAGGTGCATCGCATCCCTTTGAACTATGCTGCTGCACCAGCAGAGAGGGAAATCTGTACCGGGGGTGGGAGCGTGGCTCTTCCAGCATCACGTGAGAGTAGTAATTCACCTTCGTGAGCGAGCGGTGAACGTAAACAGCGTAGTTGTGGAGAAGAGAGGGTCCCCATGCCTTGGCTGTGCTGCAGTGTAACGCAGGGCCGCTGCCTCCAACGGCAAAGCCGCGCCGTCCTTGCATAGCTTCTCTTACGGCTCTTGTTGTCCACAGCCTGCAGCCACCGCAGCGCACACCGCCGCTCTTCTGTCCAGCCTGGGCGAGATGGGGTTCTGCGACAGGCAGCTGAACCTGCGCCTGCTGAAGAAACACGACAACAACGTGGTTCAGGTGGTAACGGAGCTGCTGCAGATGGGTAACGGCGACTGGTACAGCAGCAGGTGCTGAACCCTCCGGGTGGAGGGGGCTGTGTTCATTCAACACTGCGGCTGAAGCAGCCCGCTCCCCAGATGCTTTCTGGGGAGGTGTGACTCAAACTTTGGCTTTTCTCTGAGCTTTTGGCTTTTTTTTTCTCTTGGAAATGTCAAACAGTGCTTGTCACAGCATCTTAGGAACTGGAGACCAGAGTTTCAGCTGTTGGACGTCATGGTTAAATGAGTAGTTTTTTCCTGCTGAATCCTTTTGTCAGGGAGTCCTGTAGGATTACGTTAAACTTCCACCCCACTGAAAACTTCCCCTTTCGTTGTGTGTAAGACTCTTTCCTTTTCAAGGCAGCTGGAAACTTGTTCCGTTGGCCTTTAACAAGCTTTGGAATAGGAACCAGTGCAAAGGCTGCAGTGAAACGTAGTCTTGCCTAACTCTCAAGAGATCCCCACAGCTTGCAAGTCGTCTTCTGATGCGATTTAGTGGTGGACTCCTCCGGTGCCCGGCAGTGACGTACCAGAGTGAAACCTCATGGACGACTCGTGGAAGGAGAAGGCTGCTCGTATGTGAAAGCCACCCTGAACTGTCAAACGGCCTCTGCAGCGGCTGAGTGGTGCCGCTGGTGAGCTGGTGGGTACTGGGCAGGGCACTGCTACTTGCAGCAGGGTGAAGCAGGAGAGTGAATTTACCAGCAGCCGTCGACCCGTCACTCACTGACAGTGCAAAACGTGGCGCTCACGGGAAGATAACAGCCTACGTCAAGGATCCTGTTAAGAATGGAGTGTAAGGGGGGAAGGGCCTTTCTAAGAAGCTTTACAGGCCTCTTTGTCGGAATGTTAAAACTGGACCGCCACCTTCTTTCAGCATAGTGCAAACCCCTTGCTCTGTCCGTACCACGCAGAGCTGAACGGTGGTACTGGCTCTGGTGATGCGTCGTGATGGGGCGAGCGCCTGAGGTCGGGGTTGGGACACGCGTTATCGTTGGAAAAGTGCGTTGGCTTGGGGAGTTCTCCGCGTAGCCTCCTGCGATGGGTCTAGCTGCTCTCATGTTTCTGTAGGCACGGCTGTAGGACTCGTTTTTTTCGTGAGACTTTGCTGTAGATGCCCCCAGTTAATCTGGAAATCTAAGAATTCCTTTCTAAATGTGCCGAGAGAGAGCTGGTTCTGGAGAACCAAAAGGAGCAATGTAGGCTGCTGTGCAGTGCTGCACCCGCAGGGAGCTCTTCGGAGCCCACCCCATGTAGGGGACAGCGGTGTTGGCTGTGTTCTTCCTCTCAAACAAACTTTCCCTTGCTGCAGTAAGATCCCGTTGATCCTAAACTATTCCGTCACCTGCTTCCAACTGGGAACTCCGCTGTGTCACCATGTGGCTGAGGCAGGATCAGTGTTGTACCTGACCACGGATCAGTAGCTGTCATTTTTTAAAAGACAATTCCCTTGGAGATAGGATTCCATTAAAATAATTGAAGAAATGTATCCCACCGCTCTTGTGTTAAACCCTTTCTTATAGGCTGTGGGAGATCCCCTCTCAAGTGTTTATTTGGGAACACAGCAGTGCTGCTGTGCAGCATTTCCCGTCTCGTACGCCGACCCACTCTCTGCTCTGGATCCCATGAAGATTTTCCTGTACAGTGAACCGGCGCGTTCCCGCCGTGGCTTGGGCGGGCTGTTCGCAGCCCCCTTCGGTGTGTGCCTGCTCTGCAGCGGGGAGGAGGAGGGTGTGCGCGGGGGGGGTGCAGTAGCTGAGGGTGCTGACCCGCGGGCCCAGCAGCACACGCGTGTGCTTTCCGAGTGGACCGATGGCTTAGGATGGTGGTGCCTTGTCAGCTGAGCAGCCCCCGGGGCGTGCGGAGGAGCGTTCGCTGCAGCGGGAGATGTGAATCTCTTCCCGGGTCCCTTTCGCTGGGGTTGGGGCAGCGGGCGCGGTTCGGACAGTGCCCCGGCTCTTGGCTCAGGGCCGCAGGGGCTCGTCTGGACCCTGTTCCGCAGCGCAGCTCTGCCCCGTCTCGCTGCGGGGGGCGCT